TAGGAAGAAAACAGCTTCTCTTCGCTGTACCCAAACCAAGATCAGGTGTAAAAGGGGAAGATAAACCAACAACTCATGCGGCAGGGGATTTTTTAATTTCCGCGAATGTGAAAAATACGCATGTGGCTGTATAATTTAAACAGTACTCTAGGAGTGCTCTGCTCTATCTCCTAGTCTGTACTGTTTAGTCAGATAGCAGCGTTAACTGGTCATTATAGGATGGTTTTCTCCTTAAAATGTTCCATATTTCAAAGTACTGTAATCATCAATTTTTGACATACAAAGTAAAGAAGAAGGCGGGAAGAAAAAGGGTGATTTGAGACTTTAAACGTATCCAAAGACACTTAGCTATTTTCAGATTTGATAGGATATAGAAGCAGAGCATGACTTAGCCTGTTAGATAACATGGATGTATTAAGAAAGTATTAACACTATATTGATCCAATTTCATTTTAATAATTCTCCCAATTCTACGCTGGCCAAATGCTGCAGTTATATTTTCGTTAGCAAGAATAACAAGAGCGATTAACCTATTGTAGTGTGTGTGTGTGTGTGTGTGTGTGTGTGTAAATTCGAAATGGTTAAGATTTCATTCTAAGTTCTAAAATGGTACTCTAACAACTGCATGCTCTTAAAACAAATTTGATTTCTTAAAAGACAGGTGGCCAGGAAGAAAGTAGGATGCAGATAGAAATTATTTCAAAATGGGGATAAAGAACTAAATGGAAACATAACCTACCTAGTAGGTGAATCACACTTTTGTAAAACACACACACACACAACTTTAAAAATATATACTGTTACACCGGTGTATAAAAGACTTTTTTTTTTTTAAACAAAAGTGTGTATATCTATATATCTACAAATATATGAAATTATGTAACAAAATTTCAGGTAAACTATTACCTATGCTTGGCCAAATCAGAAATATGAAAAACAGGAAAAAATTTATCTTAATTGTGTTAATCATGAAAATCTTACTTAGCCTCGGCAACTTGAATCCATGTGACAATGAAGAAGGAAAAGGACAAAAATTCAAACAGCTGACACAATGATCAGCAGCAACTGACAGCATCTCATTTGATATTTGATATCAAGCACTAGATCAATATTTGTGAGATCAATGCAATTTTAATGGTTTTTCTTTCGAAACTGTATGAAAGCCAAATCGTGACACTCTGTGCTAGGGTTATTTTTAGAGCTGGTTATTCCAGGGGATGATACTAAGTAATTTACTGAGGCAAGGAAAAGAAAAACAACAACAACAACAACAACTAAAAACCAAAAAACAAAACCACCACAACAAACCATCAATATTTCTTCAGCTGATAAATCCTGGTTATCTAAGTACCTAGAGAAGGTGTGAACGTTTATTGGAAAAAAGCCATTTATTTAATTATGGTTAAGAAAAACAAAGAAGAAAATAAGCCTTTGGAAAATTATTGGAGGTACATGAAGATGAACTGGATCAGAAATACCTTTCTCATTCACAATGGGATTAGGTGGTAACTTGAGCAAAAATAAATGAAAATGATAAAAAGAAAAAATCTAGGCCTTTCAGCTACACAATCCCTGCATGTGTGGAATTCAGTGGGAACTAACAGATTTTTCTGTGTCCCAGGCAGAGTAGAAAACTGAGAGCCCTATCTGAAACTCATACACAGCAAGGTTCCTACAAAGGTCAAAAAGAGGGGGGGGGGAAGTAATTAGGTATATGATATTGTCTTTTATTTTCCTCTCAAGAGTTTATACCTTAAAAAATAAAATGCAAATTAATCTAACTCAGAGGCATGTAGGTCCTTAATCTATAAATCTTTAAACAGTAATCTAGGAGGGTTCTATGCTTTATTTTTCAGTCTTTACTTGCTTAGACAGCAGCGTTAACCCATGTGCCTACCAACTCATTTTGTTTGAGAAAAATGCTAAACTTTATTTATTTGTTTTCACAGATTCAATTTTGAGGCATTTTCACCTAGAGGAATCCAAGACCTTCACCAAACAGCAATTTCTGGGGAGGCAGATGATGGGGGTGGTGCAGAGGGAGTATAAGCAGGTGAACATTTCAGTAAGACAGTAAGAAGGTGAGATGTGGTGATTGTGGATAGTGTTCCTGATAAGCAGATGTTTAAATTTTCAGACTAAAAGAGAAAGAAAATGTCATTCATTTGTAATTCAACTTTGATTAAAAACTTGGGAGAAGTTAGTTTTTCACTTGAAATAATAGGAATATTTTAAGAAATTTCTAATGCCTGACCTAAAGATCTCTCATCTTTGTTCAAGATAAAGAATAAAATACTTAACTATGCAATTCTTAAACTTTTTTCCTCAATGTCTCTTTTTTCCTAATGTTTTTCTTGATGGCAGTAAATTGCCTAATAATGAAACTGTTAATATATTATTACAAAGAGATCACTTCAAATAAAAGGTACTGCATTATATGCTTTTAATAGTGAAATTCATACCTAAGTCCTTTTTCAGGAGGATTAAATAATGCACCGGGTATATTCCTTAAGTGCCTAGGTAAAGACATATTTTCCAGGATTTTAATAACTCCGTAACAGTCACTGTCTGTATGTGTCTCTATGCTCTATTGTATTTCAAGTCTGGCAGATTGCCTACAAACTAGACACCAACAGTTTAAATCAATTTTTCTTTAATGAAATAAAGCCAACCTTATAAATACGCATTACATACAAACAGAATTTACAGACGCAAATGACCTTGAGGCATTTAAAAATATTACAGTGCCTTGAAGAATTTGAACATAAATTTATTTAGAAGAAAATAAGTTTACAAACAATCCTGGTGACCAACATATATTGAGTCCCTACTATGTAACAGGCACTGCAAAGACATACACATACTATATATAATGTTTATTTCTGGTGGGATGGGTATATGTACCCCATGGATGGGTGTGTATGTGTACACACACACATATATGCATATATACGTATTTTTCTGTTAGGTCTTTAAAAAAAACCCCTGAGTTATCTCAAAGAAGGAAATCAACTTTATGGTCAATTGTAGTTAATTCAGACTTCATTTTGACTCATCATAATTTGACCAATAATTTTTTTTCCTCATAGCATGGACAGTACTTAGAATTTAAAAGTTTAGTGTTCCAAAAATGCTGCTCTTCTTAAGCCACTTTGAAGTAATGCTAGTGAGTCTAAGATCCAGATCTACATGTTAATCTCTAGTTTTGCCTTCAAACAGAATTCAGTTACAAAGAACTTGGAAAGATTTTGAATCTATTCAGAAGAGGAAAACTCTTTAATTTTCTGAGGAGTAAAAACTCCCCAAGAAACTTCATATAGCTTCTTAGATTTTGCTTAGCATACGTGATAAAACATTGATTGTTGCAGTTTGGTGACCCATGAAATTTGGGGGTTAGTTTTCTCTTCAGACCAGAGCATATAATTATGCAAATAAAGAGCTGTCACTGATCTAGTGAAATACTCACAAACACATGCACTCTGAAATTGGACAGAAAAGTGAAAATGGTTGGTGATGTGATGGTGCCATGGTTTGTTTTCCTGCCAAGTTTCTATCCAAGTTCATTATTCAAATTGTAAACTTTAAAAAGAGACATATCATTCTTGGGGTGTTGGTTGTCTTTTCATTTCAGATTCTTTGTATTGGTACTGCAGGCTGGTTACAAAGTACAGTTCAACATTATCTTACCTATGACAGTCTCCCATATTACCCTATGTAATGGCCAAGGAAGAAAAACTGAATAATCTAGAAAGAAAGATGCAGGGCCTCCCTGGATTTCTTTCTAGAAACATGTTTCATCTCTGTTTCAAATAGAACTCAACCCAACAATACAAAGAATATAGCGAAATGTTGTTCACAAATCTCAAGGCAAAGGGCCGGGAAAAGTTGCCTGGAAGGCCTCATAGATTAAGTCAAATTTCCATTTTCAAGTTTTTACATTGAAGGGGAAAATACTGGTCTCTGCATGGTATCCACTTAATGGTCAAACTTTCAGGACGACTTTCTCCTATCTAGCAATTAAAGCCCACTATATAATATTTGGTGACTTTAACCTTTATGGTTCATTTACAATTACCACTCTCTAAAACCCTTGTGCTAAGAATTAACAAGAGTTCTTCAATCTAGCCATGCTCTTTGGCATCGAGGTCTCCCAATTCCAAAGTTACCACTGCACAGGCTGTTGCATAATTTTAGATGTCATGGAGAGTCCCACTGATGAAATCTGAGAAGGCTCATGTCAGACCACTGACTGCTAAAGACATCACTACATGAAAGATCAGTGGTGTGAAACTTTAAAAACATTGATCCAAATGAATCAATTAAATCAACATTCATCCCTCCTAAGTGTGAGGTTTAAAACTATCATTGTTGCTTTTTTTTTTTTTCTCTACATAGATTTTGAGATAAACGTTGGAATGCTTTGATGGCTACTTCTATTCTCGAATCTCTGTTAATCGACTTTGTGCTATTTCCTTCTTTTCAACATCTTCCACTTGGTGTACATTCTTTACTTTTAGTACAGTGCATGACAGTTGCAATGCTTTAAATCTAAAACCGCCTAACAAAGCTGACGCTTTAGGTAGGGTAGCTTTAAGCTCTGTGAAGTGTTGATTAAAAACCCTTTCCCAGACTCAAACTGATCTTTTTGGAGATTAATAGAATATTAGATAAAAGGAAGACGAACAATTCAAGAGACTCCCACTCAGTCACTCTATACAAGGAAGGAAGGAAGGAAAGTATTCAATTTTTGAAAGGGAGTACCTCCTGGAGTCTTTTATTTTATATTATTACAGCTCCTAATAAGTAATCATAAAATAACCACCACTATTATCCTTTTTTTTTTTTTTGCCACCCATATTTCAAAGATGAGAATGTCTCACATTTATTTAAAGACATTTTCCCCTATAGAGGTATGGGGAAAGTTTTTGAGAAATTTTTAGACTTTCTGTAATAGTAATCTTTCTTAAATGAATCAGGATCACAGGAACCTGTCAGTTTACAGTTATAAACTATGATTGTAACAGGAGACACACATGTGTTTGGATTGGGACTCCAGATAATCCAGAGAAACAGGTGAAAAAATTTAACTTATTAGCCCTGATAATATAGTTAACATATTTTGTCACCCAAACTCTCTCAAAGGAGTTACAGGTTTTAAGGGAGGAAAAGCAGTAAAATAAATGTAAACAGGATTTTCAGATTAGATGTAAACATCAAGGACCTATATAGGGACTTGGGAGCAATGTAATGTCACCAGATTCCTTCTGGAAAACACATTTCTTTACAGTATATTAAAGTGTACTTTATAAAATCATAGCTTAACAATGGGTTCAAATTTCTTTGTAGCTAAAGATATTTTAGATATTAAAAACAAAACACCTTAAAAAAATACTGGCTTTGTGAAAGGTCCAAGCCAAATAGTAAGTAATCAAGTGAAGTTAGGGTGTTACCTTACAGCAACAGTAATAGTAATAAAAACAGCTATACGGTTTAAAATATTGATGAATGCTGTTCCATCATTCAAGTTTCTGCTTTTATTAACCTCTGTACACGAATAAATGAACTTCTGAGCAAGAATAATACGCCGCTGCTTGTTGGGAAAATTGTTTTTATTTTAAAATGATAAACAGAAATATATATGAAACTCCTGTGCTTTACTTTTTTCTTTTTGTATAAACAATAATGCAATCCAGGTTGAAGCACAAGGCAGAAACTTAAGAAAACAATTATTACAAATAGATTTTCTCCCCCCTTCAAATATCCATGAAAACTTTTAACGGCTGCATGGTTAGATACCTTTATAAAGTTCTAGAGCCAGTATCTCGCTTTTAAGTTTTAACAGGACTATTTTGAATCTCAGATTTATCAACTCCTTCCTTCCCATTCCATTTGCTCTAAGAACTGAGTATATAATTTTTAAAAAAGTCTACATCCTAACTTTAAGCCACTACTCTCCTAAAAACCTGTCTAAAGAAACCAAAATGGGAAGAAGATCAGAGCAGAAATACTGTTAACACTTGTCACCTCCAAGCAGGCGGGCTACTACCAACTGATTGTTGTTACTCCAGGAAAATTGAGGTGGATGATATTACTACATTTATACCAACAGACACATAATCAACAGGTTAAAAAAAAATCCTACATTACAAGGAATCTTATCACTTATCAGTTGGAGGTCTCGGATGGTTTGCCTAGCTCTCTCCGGGTTGCTGCAGCTCAGATCCACAAGTAGAAATTACATTTGCACAACTTAAGTTTGCAAATAGCTCTCTATAGATGGTTAAACAAGGCTAACAACCCAGTAGTTTTAAAGTATTAAAGGCAATTAAACAGTGATTCACTCTAGTTGCAAGTAAAGGTTTTCAAAAAGAGAAGTGAGAAAAACGAAGAGAAGGAATAGGAGTGATTTGGTGTCTAAGCTGAGCACATTTACTTTGCTCTAATTCAGGTGCATAAGCTTCAGAAATTTAGCACTGCACAAGTGCTGATTAAAAAAAAAACACATAAAATTAGTTTTCCTGTGAATACTTTCATATAGTCAAAACACCAAACAATTTATAACACTCTGAAAAATATATTCAATCCACATCAATTTTCAGATCCTCTCAAAGGAAGGTCCCATTATTGCATACAGTTCACCATTACTTCTAAAACAGAAAAGACTGCAGACCAACATGCTTGACATTGTTGGGGTTACACATATTAAGTTATCCAGGTGTGGATAAAATGACGTTTTGATTTTTTTCCTGTGTTGTTTCTGCTAAGATAATATCAAAAGATACGTACATATGACCACTGAAAAAAGATCACTTTAATTTGCCATCATTAAAACTGTAAGAACAAATTATTGTACTTACATACCAAACACAGATATTATCAGTTTTAAAACTTGCTGAAATCGGTTCATAATATAAAAACATCTCATCCATGAGGTGGTTATTTTAAGTTATTTTTCTGAGGAGTCAGACAGTTCTAAGTCATTTTGGGTACATTTTATCACGTCCTCAAATAAGGCAGGCATGTTGTTGCATATACTTTAAAAAAGGATGAAAAAATATTAAATTCAGACCATCATCTGCTACAAACAGAACTTTACTAGGTAATTAAATTCAAGTAATTAAAAATTGATGTTAAGATTTAATATTTGAATTTAAAAGTCAGCAAAATCTTAACTTATTTTACCTCTTATATTTCACAGTGTTGGCCAGATATTAGCTGGATTAAAGTAATTGTTGAAACCGTAGGGCAAAACCCTACAGAGGAAGTGGACTACTAAAAATTATGCCATTGTATTGAGAGGAGAAAATCTTTCACACCAGGTCTTTCTTTCCCTTTCTTTCGGAACAGAAACCTAGAAGAATCATTTTAGCTCCACTTAAGCCTTTCAGAAGGAAAAGGTAGAACAGCACACAGGTTCATTTTCCTAATGACAATAAATACTATCCCTAACAAGGTCTAACTCCATGAAAGCTCAGAATAGATCATGCTAGTTAGGATTATCAACAACAACAACAACAAACTTTCTGCACATTAGGATTTTAAAAGCAAAACAAGTGTGTGATCTAAATTACAATGCCACTCAATACACATTATACATTTAAAAAGTAAAGTCAATTCTAATGATAAAGTTGGAAATTCCATTGAAAACGGGACCTTTCACAACTTAAAAGATTTGCTCATCATTACGTTTTGGTTTAAACGATCTTCTGAAATTCGAGACTTGTGTAAAATCTCGTATTCAAAATGGCAAGGATTTTCAGCGGTAATGTGTCATCGGTACTTCATAGATTTTCACGCAAAGTTTTTCTTCTGGTCTCGAATCGAAAATAGATTGTTAGAGAACAATTTGCACTCCCAGGACGACATAGCACATCACGGCATTCACGTTCTGCATTTAAAAATTTGGCTTTTCTGGGGAGGTTGGGGGGGAACTTCCTTTAAAAAAAAAATGCGTAAGAGGCTCTTAGAGGAAAACCTACCTAAAATGGAAGTTTGAAATCTAGAATAAAAGTTTGCTTCTGTTCGGAGAAAAAACCTGGACATGATTGAGGGGGGCCGGGGGCGGGTGCCAGAGGCGGCTGCGCTGCAGCGGGCGGTAGGACCGCGCAGACGCCGCTCGCCCCGCAGCGCCGGCGCGGGCTCCGTCAGGGCAATTAGAGGCGCGCCGGCCGCGCCGAGCAGGGCGCTGTCAGCCTTAATCTGCGCGCTGACGGGCAGCGCGAAGCCCGAGCTCAGCCCGCGGGAAGCACGACCAGTGAACCCATATTGCTTTGACAGTTGCACTCATCTAGAAATAATGCAAAACGCTATTTAGATGTATATATCACGACCCTGTGCTCTAGGAAGAAAACAATCTAATGAGGGGCTGGGAGTCTGCTCGCCGACAAGCAGTTAGGAGACGTGTGGATGCATGCTCGAGTGTGGTGCCTTGGCTTCCCCTCCCCCGTCTCGCTCGTCCTCCTCTTACAGCTCTTCGTGCTTTATTCTGTGGGAGCGCCGCGTCAGAGCCGGCTTGAGGGAACTGGTCTTTGCCTCAGAGGCTTCGGTAAAGAACTTGAAAATAGACGGGAAGCTCTTCCAGGAAGTTAGCTCGTGACGGTCGGTGCCTGCAAAAAAACACAGATTCGGTTACGAGGTGGCCTCGCTCGGTGCCAAGGCAGGCCGCCCGTCTTCCGCCCCTGGAGCCCGAGCCCCGCCCTCGGAGCCCGCGTCCTCCGCGTTCGGCCCGCGCTCGGGCGCCCGCTCCCCCGCCGGCGCGCGTCTCCAGACCCCGGGCGCGGCCTCTCCAGGCCACACCTGTGCCCGAGGGTTCACTCTGCTCCCAGGGCCGAGGGCTGTCCACGTCCGCTCCCCGCGCATCTCCGCCCGCGGCGCCCGGGGCGGCCGTCCGGAGACCTCCGCCGCCTTCCGCCCGAGCTCCCTTCCCGCCCCTGACGCGAGGACGCGGCTGGGACGCCCCCCGCGGCTTGCCCGAGGCGCGGCCAGGCGGCCCCGGGGCCTCAGCCCCTCCGGGCCAATCGAGGCGCTCGGAGGGAAGGGCCACTCCCTCTCCCGCCTCGAAACCACCCACTTCCCCCGGCTCCCCGCGCGCGCGGGGATTGGTTTCCCCTGCGCGCGGAATCCGGCTTCTTCACCCACCCCGGAGCACCCACGTTTCTCGCTTCCCAAGAGAATAAAACAAATCGGATTTTTCTTGCCTCTCTCGGAAGCTGTGCTGTTAGACATCATTTGTCTCAGCGAGGTCACCGCGACCAAATTATATGGGATGCTTCATGAAGGTTCAGATTAAAAAAGAGACTGTGCCCAGAAGTGTCCTAGGAGGCTACATTTTTAAAGATTTTAGGGGACAGTTTTAGAAAAGCTAAAAAAAGTGTTTCAAAGCAGTGACTACAAAAAGAGCATTTAGGCCTCTTATTTTGTCAGGAGGAATTGAACTTTAGAAAATACAGGTTTAGTTTGTCACTTTACAGGGTTATTTTATTTTACTACAGCTTCTTTCTGTGGCTAAATTTGATACTGATGTACAGTGTTTTTCAAGTCAAACCTCCCTTCAGTTTAACACAGGCAAAAAAAATAACAGTGATGTAGTCATAAGAACAGATGAGGATATTAATCGCTTTTGACTCCTTGTGATAACATACTATTTTACCAGTCTCTTCATAACAATTTTTTAATTAAAAAATAAAAATAATAACGAAGACTCTGCCATAGAAATAATGAGTGAATAGCTTTGAAACAGCTGAAATCTTTTCCTAGATCACTCAATTATGCAGAGAGATACTGCCTGGAAGTCTTGGGATTCAGGGCCTCTGTCTGATACTTTAACATTGTTAATGATAATTCTTTAGTCTGTAATAGTAGGTCATTGCTATGGTTACTCTACAATGGTGCAACACTTTGCTTTCCCCTTCAGCTATTCGCTGAGACCTGGTAACCACATTTGTTGCCTAGCAACAGTTTTGTGACAGTATCACAATCTGGGAGTTACAACAATAAGGATGCTATGGCTGCAGTCGACCAGAGAGCAGAAAGCTACAGTCTGTGCATGGGACTTAGATGTGGGAGCTGGCCCTACTAGAGAACCCCTCTCTTTACAGGTGCCCTCACAAGGATGCTCTCTATCCTCTTCTCTGCAATTTGGCCTTATGAACCTGCATTGGAAACTATGATCCAGTACTGAAGTCATATCCTTGAGAAATATCCTCCAACACTACCGTATTCAGATTAAAAAATGAGGTCATTTCTTTATCAGCTTACTCATTTTGGGCAAATTTCAATGTTACTCAATGGGAGAGAGAGAGGAGTGTAGTTTTATCCTGGCAAATTCTAAAGTGCCTTGCCTTGATTTTGAGGTCTTCTTAGAATTCTGGGGAATAAAAAAATTACATGCCTGCCCGCATCAATAGGTGTGCAAACTTTCAAGTTCTTTAAAATATATGTAACATCCAGGTATTTGTTATTATTTTTCCACTGATTTATTCATACGACAATCTAAAAAAATTCTTTTGAATTTGGAGGCATTTATATTCTCCAAACCCAAGTAAGCAGTTCTAGATAGGCTCAGACAAACCTACTTTGGGTATATTTGAAAGGGGCCCAGTTTCTGGATAGGTTTATGAAATTCCTGTTCCAATTTCTATGGTGCTTGCAAATCTAGTTTCATTTCAATAATAACTAACTGCACTTATGATAAAATACTTTAAATTTTTTTAAAAGATTTTATTTACTTAATAGAGAGCGAGCAAGAGAGAAACAGCGTGAGAGGGGAGAGGGTCAGAGGGAGAAGCAGGCTCCCCGCTGAGCCAGGAGCCCGATGTGGGGCTCGATTCCAGGACTCCAGGATCATGACCTGAGCCGAAGGCAGTCGCTTAACCAACTAAGCCACCCAGGTGCCCCATGATAAGATACTTTAAAATCAATTGTATTTCTTCTTTTTGAAAGACTATTCTCAGATGCATACTACATGGCAACACCCATCCCCAAAAACAATAAGAAAAGAAAGAAAGAAAGAAAAAAAAAAAAAAAGGTGTTAATTGTCTTCTTTTCCTTCTCATTTCCCATGCTTCCAGACTCATTTGGCATTTCCTCCATAGTGATCACACTTACACTTACTAGTGTTACCAAGGCTATGATCAATTTGTAAGCTTTCTCAGGGAATTCTTCTCATAATTCCTCCCACCTCTTGAAAACCAATTCAATCTAGGAATCTAGGGGGACCTAAGGAGTCAATGGTCTGAAGCAATTTTAACTTCTTTATTTTTTCTTTCCTGGTGACAATCTTTCTGAAGGATGAACAAATTTCCCTGGTGATAAAATCACTACAAAGGCTTTTTAGTTTTAGCTTATGATTACTCTCTGCTTGATTAGTCCCGGGCTGAAAAGACCAAAGTCCCTGAGATAACTGAGTACCTGCACTGGCTCTCAACATTTACCCCTGCAATTTAAGAGTATAAATAATGAGAATGTGTGCTCTGTCAGAGGAAGGGAAACTGCTGGGAGTAAAGGTAATAAGCAAAGTGGGTTAGAAACTGAACTATAGAGAACTGAGTGGGGGTGGGAGAATTCTCCCTAAACTAAGGAGTAGTAAAGTGAATATTTTATACAAAAATCGCTTTCTTTTCAAAAATTTTCAAAGTAGGTTTTTAATAATTTTATTAAAATAGCAGTTGGAAGTTAGGTAATTGCATATCCACCTGGGGCTGCATATATACATTTCAAGAACATGTCTGGAGACCATTTTTGAAAAGTCAGAGCCAAAGTTCAATGAAAAAATTTACAAATTAATATGAATATCTACCCATAGCAAAGCTTAGAGAATGGAAACTTTTGAGAGCAGCTTTCTAGTAGTTAAAAAATACACCACTTTAGGAAAAATTATTCCATCAGGACAGAAACATTAGACCATTACACTATCTATTCATAAAATGATATAAAAGTGGAAAATATAGGCCAATAAAAAAAGCAGCCATATATTGAGAAACTGTAATGTGTAGGTATATGGAAAATCATTTCAAAATAACATAACCATGTTATTTGAAGGATATAAACATGATTCCTAGTTTTTCCTCTAGCACAACTTTACCCAAAATCAAAAGCTCCTCTTTTTAGGGACTATGAACTTGTTTCCACTTTTCAGACCCCTAATCTAGAGAGGTTCCCACAGTATAGGGAGTAAAGGGTTTCCCATATTAAATACCCGCCATGTTCACAGGGAAAGATTTTTGTATCTTCTTGGATTGGCAGGTTTGTTCTTTCTGGATAATTCACCTTTGGGGCAAATTCAGTTTCCTACTCCATAGAATCAATTCAGTATCAAAATAAAAAGTACAGGGTCTCAGTGCTTCATTACAAAAAAGTGTCTTTGTTCAGTCTCAATAAGTGATTCTAAACGGGCATGGTAGTGGCCCCTGGGGCATTCTGGAAATTTGTAGGGATATTTTTGGTGGTCAAGATGATTGGTAAGAACTATTGGCATTTAGAGGAAGAAGGCCAGGGAAGCTGGAAATCCTGCAATTTGCAGGGCAGTAGAGCACAATGAAGAATTGTTTTGCATCCCACATGGTTTTCTTTCTTTCCTTTCTTTCTTTCTTTTTCTTTTTTCTTTTTCTTTTTCTTTCTTTCTTTCCTTCCTTCCAAGATTTTATTTATTTGAGAGCACATGAACATGGTGGGGAGGGGCAGAAGGAGAGGGAGAAGCTGACTCCCCACTGAACAGGGAGCTCCACACGGGGCTCGATCCCAGGACCCTGGAATCATGACCTGAGCCAAAGGAAGATGCTTAACTGACTGAGGCATGTAGCCCCCCTCCCCCACACCCCGCCATGGTTTTCAAATGTTCCACCAGCTGTTCATGTCGTTGAAAACCCTGTTTATAATTATATGGGCTTAGAATGTAGATGTGTTTAACCAATACTCTCAAAGTACTTTTGGCATCATTTTAACATATACAGAATTTTCTAGGAATCCGACACCATGTAAATTGATGGGATTTTGTACTTTATGTTGTTCAGAATATTAATAAGCAACAGTGGTTTATATAATTTCCAAGAGTGATTTACCATATGAGAAAAATCTCATCACTGATGGCATCACTGCTCATGAAACTTGAGTCACTGATAAGAACACCCACATTACCCTGCATTTGTAGCTGTTGAATCCGCGGTAATTTTATGTACAGAACTAAGTATCTGACTACTGTATTATGCCTTCTTATGTAGATTTTCTAGAGCACTTATAATATTGATATGCATATTATTTTTTATTATGAGCTACTTTTCTTTTATTCCTTCTATATGTTAACTAGAGCATTATAATAATTTAGCTATCTTAAAGTAGGTGGATCATGTTATCTTTAGAATTCATTTCAAGATAGTAAAAGCACTACATAATATTTGTTTTAGGGGAGATATTTAGATGATCCAAGTGTCAGCTTAAATAAAAATGAATAGTTAATTCTTTTTTTATTATATTAGAGATTAATTTTCCCTATAATCTGAACCCGACTCTATCTCTTTTATCCTATGCAGAGTAGAAAATGCCTTTTATTTCTCTTAATGTTTCTTCCATAAATATTGTTTGTCAATGATGTTATTCACTGTGAAATAACCAAAAGGCAGGGGACAGGGGATCCTCCATAAAATACTACACTGAATATTTATCCTTTACCTATTCTTGTTTTAAAAAAATGAATTGTAGCAAATTTCAAAGTGGTAGAGATAGCACAAATGGTCAAAAGGATTAGAAACTTAAAGTATGAAGTATGAGACTGTAAATCATATGAGAATGATCAAATTGCTAAAATGTGTCATTTGTTTTCCCCAAAGACTATATATTTTTAAAAAGTGTCTTGTAATGGAACTGAGAAAGAGGGAGGCTACATTTATATAATAGCATTTAGAAATTAAACAAAAATGGTTGGAAATAGCACTGAGAGTG